TGGGCGAGGCCGCCCGTTGCAGGTCACCCATTCGAGCGCCCTGAGCAGCCCGCACTGGGATGCGGCCCGAGCGGCCCGCGCCTCGGCCTTTACCGCCCCTGTCCCGTCGCTCCTGCTCCGCGCGCCCCCCGCCCCCTCTCCCGGGGGCTCCGCGGGCGAGGTCTGCGTCGCGCCCGATCTGGGACCCTCGGTTCGGTGCGCTCGGATCCGGATTCGTTCGTCTGAGAACAAAACCCCGATTCTGAGAAAACGAGATGGGCTCCGCCGCGGGGGAGACACCGGCGAACGCGGCCAGAGTGGGGCCTTGAGTGTTCTGGGGATCGGACAGGGACGAGGGGGACAGAGACAGAGTCTGGGGGAGACCGAGAGATGGGCCGAGCGAGAGCGAGAGATATCGACCGAGGCTGCCTACGGAGCGAGTGCCCTGGGGCGACAGAGACAACGAAAATCCGAGACTGACAGAGACACACTGACGCGGGCAGAGAAAACGCGGGGGAGACGAGACAGACAGAGAGACACGGAGATGGAGAACGGAAGAGAGAGAGATCAGAGACACCGAGAGGCAGAGGCCCAAGAGAAACCCTGAGAAAGGCAGACGCAGAGCCAGAGACACAGCGGTAGACGAGAGACAGCCCGAGACACGGAGAGGCGAGAGAAGCCCGGGAGAGAAGAAGGCAGAGAGGGGGGACAGAGACACTGAGGGAGAACCTGGAGAGACCGAGGCGCCCAGCGAGGGGGCCGGGGCCGGGAAGACGCGCGGAAAGCGGCCGGACGCGGGCGCCCGGGCTCCGAGGCGTGGCCCCCGCAGGGTCGGACGCCGCCGGGGGCTCGCGCCGGGAGAAGCGGAGAACGACGGCGCCCCGGACCGAGAGCCCGAAAGCGCCGAGCCGCCGGGGCCCCCGGGCTGGGAGAGACAAAGCCCGCGGCAGCGACGGCAACGGGAGGCGCGGCCCGTGCCACCGAGACCGAGACGTCGGGCGGAGGGAGGGCGCAGCGGAGACGCCGGGTGTGGAGTCTCAGGCCGGGCGCGAGGCGCAGAGACCTCGGGCGGAGACACCGCGGGCTCCGCGGGGCCGAGCCCGAGGCGGCGGGGAGCGACCTCGGGCGGAGAGTCGAAGTCCCGAGGAGGGAAGCGCGCAGAGCCGGGGCCCAGGAAGCGAGAAGGGGCGCGACGGCGGCCGCGGCCCGCCCGGCGCCCACCTGGAGGCTCCTGCGAGC